AGGGCAGTGTCACTGGCCCTCATATGTGGGATCCGAACCGGGGCCCTCTGGTGTCCCAAGCCAGCTCTTAACCAACGCGCCACTCGGCCGGCCACATTTTAATCATTTTTAAGTGTGCAGTTCAGTGGCATTCACAGTGTTATATAACCATCCCCACCATCTATTTCCAGAACTTTTTCATCATGCTAAACTGAAACGACCCCTCTAATAATAACTCCTTATTCCTCCCTCCTCCAGGCCCCTGGAAGCCTATATTCTAGTTTCTGCCTCTATGAATTTGACTACTCTAGGTACCTCATATAAGTGGAATCATACAGTATTTGTCCTTTTGTGACTGGCTTCACTTAACATAATGTTTTCAGGGTTCATCCATGTTGTAGCGTGTGTCAGAATTTCCTTTCTTTTAATAGCTGAATAATATTCCTCTGTGTGTATAGACCACATGTTGTTTATATATTCATCTGTTCGTAGACTCTTGGTTGTTTCCACCTTTTGGATATTGTGAATAATGCAGCTGTGACCATGGGTGCACAAGTATCTGTTTGAGTCCCTGTCTTCTGTTTTGGGTATATAGGAGTGCAGTTGCTGGATCATATGGTTAATTCTGTATTTAAATTTTTGAGACACTGCCAATCTTTTCCAGTTTATCTTTTCATTCTTGATAGCATCCTTTGATGCACAAAAGCTTTTAATTCTGCCGAAGTCCTTTTTATTTTTTCTTTAGTCACCTGTGCTTTTGGAGTCACATCCAAGAAATTCATTGCAAAATTCAATGTCATGAAGAGTTTCTCCTGTGCTCTATAAGTTTTATAATTTTAGCTCTTAAGTTTTGATCTTTGATCCATCTTGAGTTAAAGTTTGTATGTGGTGTAACGTTAGGGTCTGGCTTCATTCTCTTGTATCCAGCTGGATATCCAGTTTTCCCAGCACTATTTGTTGAAAAGACTGTCCTTCCGCATTGATCTTGTAACCCTTGTTTGGAAATCAATTGACTATGTATGTGAGGATTTATTTCTGGGCTCTCTATTTTATTCCATTGGCCTCGATCCTATGCCAGTTTCACACTGTTTTGATTATTGTAGCTTTGTAGTAAGTTTTAAAATCAGAAAGTGAATCCTCTGGCTTTGTTTTTTTTTTTCCCCCCCAAGATCAGGTGAAATTAATAATGTAATTTATTTAACCCAGTGTATTATTTCAACATGTAATCAGTATGAAACATTATTAATGAGATATTTTACGTTCTTATGTTAATAATATCTTCTGAATTGTGTATTTAACTTAACAGCCATTCTCAGTTCAGACTAGCTGTACTTCAACTCTCAGTAGCCACATGTGGCTCATGGCCACCATATTGGACAGCTCAGATTTAGCAGAAAATTGCACTGTGGCACAGCTCTCTGAAAACACAAAGGTCTTGGGAATCAGGGGGGCCTGGTTCCACAGTAAGTCTGCCCCTTTTTTGTTGAGGTGGACAGAAGGCCGCATATGGGGGCTGTGGTAAAGGGGAAGCAAGTCAGTCGTACCGAGGAATGAGGAAGCAATAAGAAAGGCATGCTGGGGAGGTGACACTTGAGCTAAGCCTTAGAAGTACCGTGGGGGCTTCGCCAAGCAGCCGAAGTACGAAGGGCATTCTTGGCAGAGCGCACAGCTCGGGGAGAGGCCCGGGACTGTGAGAGAGCCTCGTGCTCTTGTAGTATTACAGACAGCTTTTTCAGTTCAACTAGGGTCTGAGTAGCGGGGGGCCCTGGTGAAAGCAAAGGCTACGGAGATGGGCTGAGGCCGGGCCTTCCACCGGTGGCCACCACTGCCCCTGTCGTCCATGTCCCCAGCATCTCTTATTTGAGTTACTGGCAGCAGCCTCCTCACTGATGTCCCTGTGTCCACCCTGGACCCCACCTCCCCTCATTTAATGTAAGTCAGACCATGTCACTTCTCTGCTCCAAACCCTTCTGGGGCTTTACATTTTACTCAGTTGAATTGGAAGTGTCAGCATCCTACAAGGGCAGCCCCCACTCTCTGGCCATTTTGGACTCATATCTCTCCTTACAGCCTTCTTTGCACTTGCTTTTTACTCTGCCTGGGATATGCTTCCCTGAAGCATTCAATAGCTCACCCTCACACTTCATATCTCTGCCACTTTATTCCTGTCTCTCTTCAGAGAGCACTTCCTGTCACCCTATACAAAATAAAATGAGGGCTGGCCGAGTGGCGCAATGGTTAAGAGCTGGCTTGAGATGCCAGAGGGCCCCGGTTCGCATCCCACATATGAGGGCCAGTGACACTGCCCTCCACAGCTAAGATGCTGAACAACAGCTCAACCTGGAGCTGGGTTGCCCTGAGTCGCTGGCGACGACGTAGGCTGCAGTGGGTTGCCACGGGCTACCGTGTGTAGCCAGCAGCCAGCGTGAGCGGCCAGCAGCCAGCGTGAGCGGCTATCCAGAAGCCGGCGACTGATCTGTCTCGCCCGGGAAGAGCACAGTGATGGTGCCAACTTGGGCCAGTGAAGCAATGTCCTCCACAACTAGACTGAAGAACAAAATGACAGCAACTTGTCTGTTCCCTTTCCCCCAATTCCCCAGCGCTGTTACCATCCCCCAATTCCCTAATAAAAATCTTTGAAAAAACAACAACCAAGACCTGAAAACATTTAAAAACAAAAGGTGAAGGGCTGGCCAAGTGGCTCAGTTGGTTAAGAGCTCACTCAAGAGTTTGAGCTCTGAGCAACAGCGGTTCAAGTCCAGCCCGAGCTGAGCAGTTGCTGAGCTGCCAACAGGTAGCAGGATGGCTCAGCTTAAAAAATAAATAAATAAATAAATAAATAATAAATAAAAACAAAAGGTGAAAGAATGGTCTGTGACTATGACTATCCATATATCCTCGACTTAGATTCGGGAATTGCTAACATTTTACCACAGTCACCTTACGTATTCGTGTGTGTGTGTGTGTGTGTGTGTGTGTGTGTGTGTGTGTGTGTGTGTAAATGGGACCATTTAAAAGTCAGTTGTAGAAACATGACACTTACGCTTTGCATTTAGAAGTTGACCCTGCAGAGTGGTGAGTCAGAGAAGACCTCAGATAGCAGGCAGCTGGGGCCATGGCCTCCGACCTGGACTTCTCACCTCCCGAGGTGCCCGAGCCCACCTTCCTGGAGAACCTGCTACGGTACGGACTGTTCCTGGGCGCCATCTTCCAGCTCATCTGTGTGCTAGCCATCATCATACCCATTCCCAAGTCCCACGAGGCGGTGAGTCCTTCCCCGTAAGCCTCAGCTCCTGGGGCTGGGTTCTGGGTACCAGAAATAGATACTACAGAAATGGAGATCAGGGACCATGCCGAGCTTTATTGATGTAATGTGTCCTCAAATTCCCACCTGGTGGCATCGAGCCATGGGATTAATACTTTATTTGTTCACACATGCATCAAGCAGATTTTTTATTAGGTGCCTACTACATGTCAGGCTCTGCTGAAAGATGCGGTGTCTGCCCTCAAGGAGCTTCTAGTCCTTAGGGGAAAGACAGATATGAATCAAATTCTCACGTGTTTCCTGAGAAGTACAGGGCTCTGTGAGGGTGTATACGACGGGGAAGGCCTTACCCTGGGGCAGTGGCTTGGCTATTTCCCCCTCTCCCAGGGAGAGGGGACTGTGTGTGCAAGGGCCGAGGAATAAAGGAAGGGGCAAGTTCAAGGAACTGAATGAAGGTGACGGCAGCCAGAGAACAGAGGGATGTGATGAGAGGTGCAGAAATGCAGCCAGCGGAGTAGGCAGGGCCCAGCGGGTTTTAAGTAAGAGAGTGACATGATCCGATGGCCTTTTTTGTTGTTTTGACTCTATTCTATAGCTATACACCCTTCTTCCGCCATCACCACCCCCATTTTTCTGATGACATTGATTTGTTGGACAAAGCAGGTCATTGTCATCTACGATATCCACATCCAGGATTTGGCTGATTGCTTCTCTGTAGTGTCATTTACCATGTTTCTCTTTTCCCCACATTTCCCATCAACAGGAAATTCAATATAGAGGCTTGATTCAATTCGGATCAGGTTATTTGGTGAGAACACTTCATAGCTGCTGCTGTGTACTTCCTGTTGTATGTCCTCAACAGGCACGTGGTGTCTGGTTGTCACACATTTAGAGATTCTAGGATTGATCGGTGGGTTTAGGCGATGTTAGCTGATCCCTCTATTATAAAATCCCCATCAGCCTTTTACCTAAATGATTTTAGCTTCCATTGACGATCATTGTTTAGATCCATTATTTCCTTCTGCATTTTATTAGCTGGAATTGTTCAGTGAAGAACACCTTTTCCTCATTGCCTGTGTGGTTACTCTGAAATGCTATTCACACTAAAAGGCAGGATAAAGGCTTGCTTCTTTCCCTTTATTTATTAATTTTCAGAGTAGTGAGTTTGGGCTCCAGCAACCTCTAAACTTAACCAATGAAGCTTTGACTATCGTATCATTTTGAGCATGTATTTTTGTATATTTGCCATGTCTTAATTTTAGTTTTCTTTATGCTTAAATGGTCTCCGTGGGAGCCTCATCAAGTTGTATGAAATATTGTCTACCAGGGAAGCCCATTAGAGACTCATTGCCTAGGGTTTTTACTGGGGACAGGTCACATCAGCATCCTCTGCCTAGCACGGACCAAAATTTCAGACTTCCAGAAGGAAAACAGGTATTCAGCATAAACCTTATTGTTTGCGCAACCAGTTTAAGTACAGCGAGCCACTGTTATCAGCTCTGGGAATGGTGGGAACCACCCAGAATCCAGTTTCCCAGATGCCAGCCAAGGGCCAACCTTGCAAGCTGACTTTTCTAAGGACAGCAGTTTTTTTAATTTTTTAAATGTTAACTCTATTCTGCACACCTATAACTTTATTCTGCACACCTATAACATACTTATTATATAACTTTAAAAATTTTGTAGTTTTAAAATAGCTATCTTGTTTTTCACTACCAAGACTCAGAATGAATTTAAGATTTCTTTGTGGTTCTTTTCTGGCCCACAGATATGTCCCAGTAGGGCTGTCTGGTCAGACTACTGTGTTTACTAATCCTTTTCTTCACATAGGTACCCTCCCACTGTGACCTGCTGTTAGGTTAATTGGTTTCTAATTTTTAGGGATTCATTTCTTTTTGAATTAACTAAAACATTATATAAAACATTTCCCTAAGTCAAAAGTATGTAACAAGATACAGCCACAGAAATTTCCTTTATTCTCAGTATTGTTCACCCTGTTCCCTTCTTCCCTCCATATAGGTAACCATTTTTATTATTTTGATTTGTCCTTCCTTTGTTTCTTTTTGAAAACATACACAAATGCATATGTGAGACACACACACACACACACACACACACACACTTATTTATTTATTGTCCCCCTTTGATACACAAAAGATAGCACACTATTAAATACAGCTTCACATCTCTTTTTTTCCACTTATCACTATATAGTATATCCTGGAGATCCATGTATCTTGGAGATGACTGTGCCCACAAGATCCTGCTTGCGTAGCTGGGAGGATGGTGGCAATTTACCGGTGCAGTGGGGAGCCCCTCAGAAGGAGCAGGCTTGGGGTGGGCATGGGGCAGGAGCATGCTGGGTTCGGTTTTCAGTGTCTAAGATGTCCAGGGGGTTCTGTCAAGCAAGCTGTTGGGTCTACAGGCCTATATCAGGAGAGGGGTCCAGGCGGAGTGTTGATCGACATCTGGGAGTTGATGTGATTGAGGCAGTGGGAGAGGATGAGGTCTCCTAAGGAATACGGAGTGAGATGAGAAGAGGGCTCAGCACAGAGAGAAGGTACAGGGAAGGGCAGCCATGGAGGGCGGGGAGACCTTGGTGAGCATAGACAGGTGTGTGGCCTCTGGGTTGTTCTGTCCATCTCCATTTCTTATTCTGGTATCTTGAGAAGGAGGTCATGATTGGAGTTTTCCACCCCACAATTGTATCACACTCTAAAAACGAAATCCCTGTGCTCTGGGCCTCTGCCCTCACAGACACTGACATGCTATTGGGCATTATAAATAACAAACATTTTTATTGTCGTTGGCTGCTGATGACGCCAGCTAAGAGTCCCGAGGGAGGGAGGCCATGAGCATTCTTGTTTTATAAGCAGAGATGTAGAGTCAGGTGTGTGGCCTTTTGGGGAGCTGCCGCTCACCTCCTTTTGTGTTCTTAACCCTTCGAGGCTAGCCATAGAGGCCTGGGTCAATTTAGCAAACTTTGAGAAAAAGGGGTGCTGTTTACTGATCTCTTTGAGGTTTTTAGTGGTGCTGGGGGCAGGGGGAGGTGAGATCTTTTAAGGTAGGGAATTGACAGAGGGTCCACAGTATGCTTCCATTCCTCCTCCCTCCGCCTACTCTGCCATTTAGAGGTCAATTTGGGACAAAAACAAAAACCTCATCTTTTAAAATACATAGTACATAAACTCTCATTTTAATTTATCTTGCAGTTTAGGAGAATAAAGCTTACACAAGTGAATTGTCTTCATAACTGAAACTTACTGTTTTAGGTGAGGTTTTTTTTGCCCCCAATGGATCAGTAGCAAAAAATACAGTACCATTAATTTAATTTTTTATTGGTGCATCACATCAGCAAATGGCCCCCAATTATACAGAGATTCTGCTGCCAGATTTCCTCTGTGTGTCTCCAAAAGGCAGCCTTTGCTCAATCCCCAAACTCCTAAAGACATGGAGGGGAAACACTGTATTCTGTGCAAAAACAATCTTACAAAGAGAGGGTGAGTGCTAAGACTGTGCTTAGAGGCGGTGCCTGGCAGCTAGCTGGGATTTAGAAGTTGGATCGGGAGGGGAGAGAAGGGGGTTTTAGGAAAAAGGGAGCCTGTGGAAATGGGGACGGCTTGTGGGACTTCAGGCAGCCATAAGGCACGAGGGAGGTACCTGGAAGTGGGGGTGGCAGGAGGTGGGAGAGGGTGGAAGTGGGGGTGGCAGGACCCGGAGAACAATCTTGCTCTTTTTGCCGTGGTGCTTAGGGCAAAATCATCCCTGTTGCTTGGCCTATAGAAACACTGTTTATTAGTGGTTTTTTGGGTCAGAAGATAATATTTTTGGCTCCAGATGATGGGAAAGCCTTTGAAAAGCAAAAGAATGTCTTTCCTGTTGTTCCAGTAAGCTGATTTTTGCAACTAGTTCATGACTTCAGTACTTCAATACTTAGAAGATTATTTGAAAGCTCTTTTGGGGGTAATCAGGGAAGGAAAACGGAACATATACAAATGCTTCCCACCCTACCCCCTTCCTTTTCATAGTAGAAGCAAGAACCAATTGGTAAAATCAAAACCAAAGTCCCTAGAATCCTAAGCCAAATGAGAATGTTTTCTCATTGACACCTCATTAAACTAAGACCCCAGAAAACAAACATTTGTTTGAGCCTGATTGAAGCCTGGGCTACACTTCATCCAAGCATTTTCTTGTAGGCTGGATTGTAAAATATAAGAAGGTAGATCCTTACACTGTTTTTGTCTAGTCCAGAATGCAGATATGTTTAATCTCTCATTCCATTGATTATATGGTGACCATGGTGAAAAGGATTCTGGGGCTACTTTTAAGCTCCAGAGTAATGAAATCGATCAGTGATGTCTGCCATGAGCAAGGGGCTAGGGCGTTGGTAGTTTGAATTGCTCATCCTTGGGCTGGTCCATGATTCTCCATCTGTTTGCACCCACCTGGGGAATTTTCAAAGGCCTAGTCTACACCTATAGAGATTCAGATTCAGTTATTCTCTGAAGCCTTGGATTAGTATCTTCTTAAAGTGCCCAGGTGGTTCCGTTATGCAGCCAATGGTCTAATCCTTAGACTATTTCCCTGAAGCACAGACCAATTTTGGGAGGATGGGACCAATTTTGTTCAGTTCTACATGTGTTAGGTGTGAAATAACAGCAAGACATCCAAGTGGTAAAGGGAGCGCCAGTGAGAAGTTGGAAGTAGAGACCTGGGAATTATGTTATCAACATAGTATTATTTCTTGAAACCCTGAGAATGAGTTGCTGAGCTTTTAAGGGGAAATTAAAATTCAGAAGAGGCCTGAACTTGAGGCATTGCTCGAACTACTTGAAGTAACTTCTGTGCAGTGTAGAGACACTGAAAAGATGGGGGTGTTGTCCAGAGCAGGGATGTGCTGGGTCTCTGGAAGGCGTGGTACCCAAGGACCCCATCACTCACCATCTGCACCCCCTCTTCCTCTGCTCCCTGTCTCCTGTCTTTTCACGTCTCCCACCAGG